CTCCGATTCAAACAAATAGAATTCGCGCTTACATTTTATGTTCCGCCATCTTTGATTTGCATCGAACACGCTGGTATCAATAGTTGCAGAGTTACGTCTACATCGAAGTATGTGGCGATATTTAAACTGCCAGTAGCCTGCTGCTAAACGTGTGAAAACTACACAAGGAAGGCGTGACAAACAGCAAGAATTCAAACGGTCTAGGCGTAAACCACACACATTCCAAGTTAGCTGGCAGGCGGAGTTCAAAGACTGGTTACTTTTTGATAACAAGGCGATGTATTGCCGGCCTTGTCGAGGATCCTACGGTCAGCTGTCGGTTAGTAGGATTGTGAACACGATGCAAAATTCATGTCAGATTCAGAGTCGGCCAGTGATCATGTTTTTTCTGAAGATTTTGATGAGTTTAGTGACGATGAAAGAAATGATGATGACCTCTTTGAGGCTACAGATAATATATCTGATTAATTAGTAAATAAAGGTTTTGCGATTGCAAGCTTGTATTATCCGTTTAGTCTTACTACAGTTTTAATTTGACATAGGTCCTTCGGGCCTGTAATGATTTTCAGTTAATTTCAAACACTGAATGCGCCCATGTTTATATTTGCGTAATAGTTACGAATGCAACGCATTATCAAGTCGGTAATATTGAAATATTCATAGACCCAATAGCCCGGGTTAGTGTCCCAACAATAATAAAAATAACTTAGTTTGCGTAATTATTATAAAAGCAATACATTGCAAAGTTGAAATACTTAGAGCCCGTGCAATACTGTAAACATATTTGCGTTATTAGACAAGCAGCACACTAAGTAAACTATGTTGAAATATTCAAAGCCAATACAGAGTTGGATACAAGTTGTGTTATTACAGTACCGCCGGATATAATAACACATTTTTTATTAATAACAAATTTATTATAGCCGTAAGCCTCAGTGTCAAACGTATATTCATATGCAAATGATATAGTCACATATATTGACAATTTGTAATAAGATTTGCTCCGTTCAAAGACAAAGTGTCCAAACTTTGGTACAAAACATAACTGCAGTCTTACCTTTTCATACTAAGCATTTCCATTGGTTGTCTTGATGCTAATCTTTCAAATTCATTTTTCATGACTTCTGTTTCAAATCCTGCATAATCTGGAGGGGGCAGATATTCTAAATAATTCTTTGTTGGTCGGTATCTTCTGCATTCTTCTTCTACAAGGGCATACGCCTGAAACAACATGACATTTTTTTCATCATACAAATAATGTTTTCCATGGAAATATCTGAAACATTTTCTCTGCAAGATCCTTGCATTACATTTAAACCATTTTCATTGGCTACTAAAAGGTCTCTGCATCTTTCCACACTCGTGTTTGTCATCACTGACACAATCATCTGAAGCTAGCAGACACTCCCAGCAGACAGTGGAAGCCAGCAGACACTCCCAGCAGACAGTGGAAGCTAGCAGACACACTAGAAGCCACAGTCTATAAGGCATAACAATGCTTTGAATCAAAGTTTATCACATCTTTTGCATCACGTAATCATAGTTTGACATCAATATATTTATGTAAATGGGTATTAAATATTCATTTAAACAGAGAAATTCCAACAAATGTATTCACCCCCCTCTGAAAGTGTATTTCTATGTGCGTGTATATAAACACTATTCCCAATATTTTATTAAAAATATTGAGTGTGCACCTTAACCACTTGTGTGCTATAAAACATACATGTATTGACTACAATTTGTAATAGGTAACATTTAATAGTTAGTAGACAGTTTCAAATTATGGAAATCATAATTATGATAGAACTGCCCTATTTGCTAGCAGACACTAACTAATTAAGTCACTAATTACAGTAAAAATATTGAGGGTGCACCTTAACCAACAACAATTATACTAGGAGCAACAGCATTAATAGTTAGTGTCTGAAACTGTCAGCTTGACAGAAACTTAAAGAAAAGTCAATCCTGATTATGTCTTACTTATACTCTAGATTTTAATTCGTATCCAAAATAGTGAATAACTACAAAAAGATTCTTAATGTATGATCGAATATGGGGTTGTGAACCACAGCCACAGTTCAATGGTCGGAGTTCATAAACAATAAAAACAGCACCGGCGTTCAACACGTGTGTCCTATTAAAATTAAAAACGTGGAATGTGGAAATTCATTGTATTCACTCACTCACTCACTCACTCACACATTAATGAGTTGTATTACAAATGGCTCGAGCTCATTACTCACCGCTTCCCTCACACCTGGTTCGTCATATCCCTGATCAAAATACGGCAAAGCGTCAACAGTAACTTCACCCGCCATGTTGGATTGCAAAGCATCACGGGAAAATGGGGTTTGACCTCGCTTCACCTTTCGTCCCATAAAAGAAAAAGCACCTAGATTTTATTAACTTCCCATTTGGACATTAAATTATGTGCTTTTGCGGACAAAATCAGGTAATTTTTTAAAGAACAGCGCCCTCTTGACTTGGAATTCGGTTGGAAAATATTGTAAATTTGCTATATCAATGTCTAAAGATTTGTCATGGAAAACATAATTGTAACAGGAAATTCATAGCTTCTTCTGAAAATTTGTACATTCAAACATTTTAAATTTTACTAAATATTCTAAAACTAAGTTTTATTTGTACATTTACATAAACAACACATTAAAGCGGGAAGGTCGTCACCTGCGCATGCGCTAAAATTGAGTCCCAAGCTTGTTTACATGATAACTTTGGGGATAACCTGTGATATAGTTTACACAGATATAAGACATTTTTATATTTGTTAATTGTCTATTAAAGGGGCACCTTCCAGTGGTTTTAGTCAGTAATCAGTGGGTTATACCTCGATATACAGTACCAAGAGTGGTTTTAATCAGTTACCAGCAGGGTCGGATACAGGATTTGTTTATGGGGAGGGGGGGGGGGGGTCCAAACTTTAAAATCGACAGACTAAGTTAATGATTTTTTTTATATTATACAAAAACAAACTGAATAAATTTTTTAACGGGGGGGGGGGTTGTCTTGAGGTCCGCCCCCCTGAAAAATCTCTTCGGGCGCTGTGTACGAAACAATACATCACCGATAATGAAATCCTTTACTTAAAAAGGCTCGTATAAGTCGTCGAGCCCATAGACTCCTTAACAATTTGGCAGGTTTCTTCCCTGGTTACTAGATTAGTTAGAATCCGTAACTAGCCCATCATTATACACTGTATTTTGGGATAACTATATTCAACGACGCTCTGATTCACTTTTTAAAAAAATCAATCAAATAATCGAATTATCGCATGTAAAGTCATTGACAAAATATACCCGGGCGTAAGAATGTAACCTGTACATTGTTAAATTCTATTATAGATGACGATTATGCAAATTCATTTGTGCGATAAAGCAAGTGATATTTGAAGGAGATTGCAAATTTAACACTGAGAAGTGCAACCGCACATACACATGAAAGACAACAAAAAACTAGGAATTTTGAAGACATAAATAAGTATTATACGTAAATATGCATACTATACAAGACATTTGTTTATGCTGGAAACATTTGATATTGTAATGTGTTACTCTTGTAAATATCTTTCAATACAGTTTTCACCAACAAATTATTGTAATGCGTACCAAGAACATAATACTATATTATTATGAAAGGACTTGTTGATGCAATTTCCATTTGGAAGTACCACTTACTAAGTATTATTATAAAGGGGCCTGGTGATGGGATAACCATATGAACATCTCACCAACAAGTGCTAATGTGTTTGAGTTGAAACGAATCGAATCGAATTCCACGCCGGAATTAGTACTATTGTATTTTGTTTATAAGTTCTGTTATAATGGTCATTCTGGTGAAATAAATGAATAAAAAATAAAAAAAAAAAAATAAATAAAAAATCTAAACCATTCGTTCGGTTACTTATAGTTCAATTGAACTCGCTCGACGATTATTAATCGCTTCACAAAATTATATATCAACAACTGAAACGCGAATTCCAATTAAAAATCAAAATTAAAAAAATTAAAAAAAATTAAAAAACTTACTTGACGTAACATATTTTCTGAAAGTAGCGGGAGATTACACGTTTGACACCAAAATAGAACTAGTATAAAAATGTTGAAACAAAAAAAGAAGAAACAAAAAAAGTAAAATAAACTTTCAATTAATGAGAAAATTATTGGGCAGAATATTATGAGTTTGTTTCTATGATACAGATGCTGGTTCGTTGTGACTTGGAGCCCTAACAATATATTTCTGCTTTTTTATATATTTATATGTTATAAATATCAAAACACAAATTCATGAATGATTGTTTATGCTATACAATTGGCATTATCTACGCTTTGGTTATTCATTTGTTGCAGATAGTTTCAAACTTTAAGAGCTTTCAGAGTTTATGTTCATTGGATTTGAAACGTAGGTAATGTATTTTCGAGGAAAGAACGTAATATTTTTCCTACGCATGCGCAGCTACAACCTACATTGTGTATTTCGAACATTTTTATAATACGAAAGACACTATCACCACAATCAAACGTAATTGAAGGGCTTTCTCGTTTTCAACTGTAGTCTTTAACAATGCAAACTACATATTTGATTAGGTTGGTTGGCCATCAAGTACCATCCTATGGCACCCAATTCATATATCACCAATACCATAGCATAGAGTTATGTTAACAACGAGCCAAAAATAACACTAATATACTAACTTTTTATTTAATTACTTATAAGAATGAGATTACATTGTGAAATGTACACGATGTACCACGGATCATATATCTGCAATACCATAGTACAGAGTTATGTTAACAACGAGCCAAAAATAACACTAATATACTAACTTTTTATTTAACTACTTGTAAGAATGAGATTACATTGTGAAATA